GGGGATGAAGATAACCAACCACCACCAACATCAACAACAACAACCAGTACCAGTCACCATACCTGAGAGATTTAATAGAAGTTACATCTTTCACTTATCGGGTTAGGAAGCATCGTTTCAACAACAGGCGACAGAATGGACGGTAGTTGTCAAAGCCAATCAGAATCGGAAAGGCAAGATATGCCTTCACCAATCTGAAACCAGTGTGCCAGCCCTCTACACTCCTCATAGGGGACAAAATTTGGATTTCCAAAACAAATATGAAGTCGGCCCTTCTATGCGGGTTTCAGACCTTGATCAACAGCTGCCTTCAACGGCTCCATACTTACGATCAAATGACTAGAAAGAATTAGTGACAAGAAACTCTAGCTAGGAACAAACCGACAAGCGAGAGCCGATAGCTCAACAAATATGTAGTATAAAGTGGGATGGATCGGGCATACGTTGAGGAGACCGTCGAGTTTCAGGCCACAGTCCAAGTGGGAAGCGACGAGTTGGTCGTCCATGCCAGGGTGATCGTGTGCATTGGAGGAGGAGATGAGAGATTATGGAGAGCCTTGGAGGCAGCCAGCTGAATAGGACGGCAGAAAATAGAAGAAAGTCTAGATGTATTGTTGAAGTCAGCCCTATGCCCCCCCACTCGAAACCCAAGGGAAAAATAATAGTAATAACAGTAATAATGTAACAACAGAAGACAAGGGCCAGACAACAGATCGATGTATTACGGAAATTAGAACGTATTTATATACATATATTTCATGTACATTATTATAGCTTATTCAAGCCGACAAACACAGTCTTCTGATTGGTTGTTTCTTGCTCAAGGTTATTCTGTACTGCTTGTGACTGTTTCTCAGAAAGTTAAGCCATATATCTGCGAATCATATTTGCCACGTTTAAGTCTGCTGCGATTGGTTGTTGAATCAGTCTTTGCTCATATTTTCTCATGGCCAATATTAGCGACATAGACATTGACGTAAATTAATGCCTACCAATTGGCTAGCAGCCTGCTCTCACCACAATAATATTAGTACTATTCTATGGGGATTTTCGTATGACATTTTGTTGACATCATTTTTTTAAAATTAACCTTTTGTTTACTCTCTTCACCTCTATTACATAATTAATTTGAATACTTGTTGTCTCCATGCTCTTTCAGTTATAAACATCCCTTGTTTTTTTCCTCAGTGTTTTCCATGTTACTCAATTTTTTTTTTAATCTAAACTTATTATTCTGTATCGCCTTAGTTACAATTTAATTATTCATCAATGTTTTGAATATATTTTGATGTTGTAAACAATCCCCAGAACTGATGTTTACTCATCATGTATGCAAAAAATTTAATTGATAATGCAAAGAATTTGGTGAATGAATTTACTCCAAGTCTTTTTGTTTCATCTTGTAAGTGAATTGTTATCTTAAAAGGCTGTTTAATGAACAAAGAATATACTTTTGATGATATTAGATGGTTGGAGGCAGTCGGCTAGAGGAAGCCTTCAAAACCATCTAGGTTTCGTGCTGGTTGCCACTCACCAAGTCAGCCTTGAAGGAACTCATGTCCCATCCTTCTGAGATTCAAACCTACGTCACCCAGTGCTGACTGCAGTCAGAAACGTTATTATTGAGCTATTCAGGCTCACGATTGACCTCCCTTAGGGACTCTACTGGATATTTTTGATTGAACATTAGTAACTAGTGTGACGTGTAACACATTCGACTTTTTTGATTCAATTAAGAATATCAACAAGGCAGAAAAGAAAATGGTTTCCTTGGATGTCGTGTCTCTCTTCACCAACGTTCCACTGACAGAAACCGTATGTTTCCTTTGTGACTACATTCAGTCCAATAGCATCGATGCCGGTATGTCGATCCATTATCTGAAAGAACTGTTACTACGATGCACCTTCAACGTATACTTTAGTTTCAACAAGGAAATATACAGGCAAGTAGATGGAGTAGCAATGGGTTCTCCCTTAGGACCCATCCTAGCCGAATGCTTTACGGCTAGCTTAGAGAACAACGCCTTATCACCAACCATCAACGACCTCCATCTCTATAAGAGATACATCGATGATACTTTGATTATTTGTGATGAGAATTGTGATTTAAAAAACCTACATCAAATCTTCAATAACGCCCACCCAAACGTCGACTTTACACTTGACACTGAATCCGGCGGAATATTCCACTTCCTCGACGTCCATCTGACAAGAAACGACAACAACTCGATGAAAAGTTCCATATGCAAAAGGCCTACATGGAATGGACAATTCATCAACTTTCAAAGCTTCGTGCCCCTAAGCAGAAAGAGGAACCTGATTTACACTCTTTCTTCGAGGATTCGGAAGATATGCAGTGAGGAAGTGAAGTGAAGAAGAACTGCGTAATCTCCAAAAAACCCTTATGGAAAACAGTTTCCCACACAGGTTCATAGACAAGAATCTCAAATCTAAGAAGACTTCCGAACAAGTTCAATCCGTTCCAAAGAAAATATTTCTGCTTAATCTAGAATTCAAAGGTGATATTGAAGCAGAAATCCTTCGCAAACGCCTCTCCTAATCACTGAGGAAAACATACTTCGCCACGAGTCTATGACTGATGTTTTCCTGCAAGAAACTGTTCAGCCAGACTGCGAAAGACAAGCTGTCGCATTGGGCTACCTCAACGTGCATATACCAGTTTACTTGCTCTTGTGGAGCTGAGTACATCGGCCGTACTATGCGCCGACTTGAAAAACGCGCTAATGAACACTATGCAGCCTAGCCAGTAAAAGGAGACCAAAAACGTGTATGCAGTTCAGTGACAGCACATCTGGTCAGTTCAGGACATTCAGCGCCTTTCGAAAAATCCTTAAAAGTAATGTACAAGATTCAATCAAATCTGTCAAAGGGAGTGAAATCAGGACATCTGGGCACAGCAGAGGCACTAGCTATCCAAAAGCTCAAACCCACTCTATGTATCCAAATGAAATACGTTCAACCCCTGTCCCTGCCATCGCCATCATAAACAGGGAATTCTCTTAATAATGACCATCCCATCGCCTTTCTTATCTAAACTTCCTGTTTATTCATGTTACTTTTAAGTTTTTCTTAATCAATATTTACACTACCATATTTTCATACGCGAACTTCATGTTACTATTTCTACATATTTAATCCCTGATTGCATAAACAATTATTCATCACATTAGGTTTTTTATCCAGACATCCTGTCTATTTTGTTATTTCTACATTTCTAACCCCGATCACAAAATTCCGATCTTCTTAGTAGTTATGATGCTACTTTGTTTGAGTTTTATCCATCCCCCTGTTTATTGGGGTATTTTAATTCCTAAGTGTAATTTTCCCAAATTGCCCCTTGACCAGAAATTATTATGGAACTTTCCCATTCATTGGTTATAAATACATGAATGTACAGCCTAAATGATGACTTCGTCGAAAAGAAAAGCTTTCTTCGCTGCAATTGTCTTCTAAATAGCTCCTATGACGTGTGTGTGTTGTGTATCAAGTCCTTGAAGCTTGGTGCTGACTGAATTCTATCAGTCAAGCCTGCAATGTGGCCACCATTCCTCTAAGTAGCTCACAATCACTGTGCACTGTGAATGGTTGGTATCAGATGATTGTAGGAAATCGGCCACAGGAAGCTTTGGACACCACCTTGGTTTTGTGCTTGTCGGTTGGCACTCATCAATCGGTAAGGCGTATCTGTGTTTGCCTTGAAGGAAAAATTCATATCATTTCTAAGATTTGAACCCGAGTGGACAATTAAACCTATAGTTACACCGAAGATCTGGTTACGTTACAATGATGATACATTTGTAATAGTTAATAGAAATGATTTGGTATATGTCCACAAATTAATAAACAGCCTAGTTGAAGATATTTAATTCACCACGAGAGAAGAAGAATTAGATAACAAAATCCCATTTCTAGGTGTCTCAATCAGAAGAACTAACACAGGAAATTTAGAAACACAAGTATATAGAAAATCAACTCACACACGCAGATCAAATACTCAACTGTATTAGTAATGTATCCTTTAGTTCCTAGAGGAACATAGGGCTTCAGCTGAGCACCTCCATTGCCTTCGGTTTTCTGACAACTTTTTCACCCTGCTCCAGGTCTGTCCACATGCTTTCATCTCCTCCTCGCATGACCTCCTCCAAGTCACCCTTGGAAGACCAACTCGCCGCCTCCCTTTCGGATTACACTCGAGGGCTTGTCTAGTGATGTCACTTGATGGTTTCCTCAGCGTATGGCCAATCCATCTCCATTTCTTTCTGCCTATTTGTTTCACAATCGGTTCCTGATTGGTTCGCTCCCAGAGATCCCTGTTGCTGATCTTTTCTGGCCATCTGATCTTGAGTATTGAGCGGAGACAGCTGTTAATGAAGGTCTGAAGTTTGTTTGAGATGCTCTTTATGACTCGCCAAGTCTCTGATCCGTATGTAGCACTGACTTTACATTGGAGTTGAAAATCCGGATCTTATTTTTGATGCTGAGTGCTGTTGACCTCCACACAGATTTGAGAGTAATGAAAGCTTGTCTTGCTTTCCCGATTCTGGCTTTGATATCCTCGTCAGTTCCGCCTGTAGTTGAGACGATGCTACCCAATTACTCGCAAAAGAAACTATGTTCACACATTGTTCAAAAGAGTTCAAACACCCACTTTAGCACTTCAGCGTTGAAAAGGATGGTAGAGAATTGCCTATTAAGCTTCTTCAAAAAAATAAAACTACTGGTAAGGGGGAAAAGGTTGGGCATGAGGCTAGCAAAACCATTGCTACCGAAACTTCTCTAAACACCTCTAGTTTGAAGTCGCCCAATGTTCCAGCATTGGGGACGTAAAGGAATAAATAGTTTAGGAGGACAAGGGCGGTTTCCTGCAAACACACAGAGAGCTAGTATACAGCATATAAGACCAGGGTTATACATGAATGAATATATATATATATATATATATATATATATATATATAAAGATGTATAAATTAAGCATACCATGGCACATCTTTGATTATACTCATTCAAGGTGAGTTTACTGAAAGAATCCACCAGTTGATCTGTTGACTTTACTGACTTTCCTTGGATACCTCCTGACACTACAGCTTTCTTATTTGTTGACTGTAAATCACTTATCCTCTCTAATTGTGATACTGACGACGACCATGATGATGATGATGTTGATATTTGTGATCCTTCAAATTGATCCCCATCATTCAATTTCTTTGTAATATGACATATTCCACGCGGGTAAGATTTTTGTCCATTATTGAATAGGATAATCTTTTCAAGAATATTTTGTATTGCCAAATGATGATCCGTATCATTTATTGATTGTTCATGAATATATGCATGGAATTGTTGAACAAGTGTCTCTTCATCTTTTTGTTTTCTATTGGCTCTTTGTGTATCATATTCAATTGAAGTAGGAGAAGCAGTAGAAGCAGATATTCTGTCCAGTTGACTTTCCAGTCCAATGACATAAGCTGCCATAAAGATGTTCTCATAATCTTGGATACGTTTATCACTATGAGAGGTGTGGATATGAGGGATAAAAAATATAAATTAGGAGATCCCATAAAATTTCAGAAATTCAAAAAAAGAAAAAAAACGATTTTAACTCAGTTCAACAGTAAAGATCAGATGATCGCCTATTTTTAGAAAGAATAACCAATAGCGAACCAGTCAGGAAGCCTGTTTATTACCCAGGCAACAAACATGCAGAAAGAGATGAATTAAACATGAAATTGACGGAATCACTGACTGACATTGAGTGTCAGGAAGTCGAATGGAGCCTGAATGCAAAGCGATGGGTTTGACATGGTATCAAGAATGATATGAATAGCATGTAAGCTGGAAGCGAGAGCTAATAGACAGTTGAGGTGGCAGGTGTGGTAAAATATAGTTCCGCATCTGACATTTCCAGCACAATTTATTGTTCACAATCATGTCACTGTATTCACACGATTTTCTAAACTGATTTATATACCTCTGCCTCCCTGCGTTAGTTTATTGCAACTTAGCATATATCCTGTTTAAGAATTGCATTAATTTCAATGAAAGCAAAAATAAGGACGGGGACGTGGAATGTTTGTACAATATATGAAAACTGGAAAGTCTGCCGAGGTAGCCACAGAAATGAGAAGATATAGAATAGAAGTGTTGAGAATCTAAGAAAGCAGATGGAACAGATGTGGAAGGCGCCAAATATCAACTGGAGAGACACTAATCTATTCCGATCACCCAGAGAACAACAATCACGAGCATACCGAAGGAGTGGCCATCATGATGTCACCAACAGCAGCCAAAGTTCTCATGGAGTGGGAACCGATCTCCTGCAGGATAGTAACAACCAGGTTCAACTCAAAAGGAAGGAAGGAAGGAAGGTTACAATCATTCAATACTATGCGCCTACAAACGTCTCAGAACAAGAGAAGAAGAAGGATTTCTACAGACAACTACAAACAGTAATGGACAACGTCCCAAATGGTGATATCAGAATCCTGATGGGTGATATGAATGCGAAACTGGGAGGAGACTACCTCAACTTTATAGACTTTGAGAAGGCCTTCGACAGACAGCGTTGATCGTGAAGTAATTTGGAAATTACTCGAGTACTATGGCGTACCCCAAATATTCATCAACCTTATTCAATAGCTGTACGACAACAGCACATGTCAAGTGATCCACAACGGAAAACTCAGAGAGGCGTTTGGAGTGAGCACACGAGTCAGACAAAGGTGCTTATTATCACCAAAGATATTCCTAATTGTGGTGGACTGACTGGATTATGCGTCAGAAAGTGAGTGGGAAACGAGAAGACAGGGATATCCTGGACCGAAATGAAGAACCCAGAAGACCTGGATTTCGCGAGTGGATGATTTATGTTTGATGTCACTGTCACAAAATCGAAGACTTAGAAGCAAAAACCGACAAACTGGTCGAAGAAGCAGCCGGTAAAGACAGGACTCCAGATGAACATGAAAAAGACGGAGGTTATGAAAATAACCAGCCAACCAACAACAGCAACATCCAGCGTCAGAGGTTAGTTACTCCCAATCTGGAAATCTTCGTCACTCAGCCAGAATCAACAACAAAATTCAGTAGGATTTTCAATACAAACGTCAAGTCAGTCAGTTCTTCTATACGAATCAGAAAATTGGCGGGCGGGTCACAAAGAATATTTTCAACAGTCTAAATCAGACCTTTATCAACAACAACTATCCTCGCTCTATACTGAAGATCAGATGGCCGGGCTGGAAAGAATCACCAACAAGAAACTATGGGAACAAACAAACAAAACAAGAAGCAGTCGCCCAACAAATATGCAGGAGAAAGTGGAGATGGATCGGACACTCACTCGCTGAGGAGGCCTCTGCGTGACATGGCGCGCGCGTCAGGCCATTTCTCTAGTGGAACACGAAAGGAAAACCGCAAGTGGAACGTCAAAGGGTGACATGGAGGAGATGTGTGAAGAGTAGTTGAAACAGTATGGACTAACATGGATGGATGCAGGTAAAAAGTAATCAGAAGACAGGAGCAAGTGGAGACGTGCAGTTGAAGCCCTATGTTCCACTAGGAACCCAAGGGAACAATAATAATAATATAAGGCCTCAATAGAACTGTAACAAACAGAAGGCAAGACATGGAAGTCAAGGTATATATTTTTCATAGATTAAACTGCTGTTTATGTATATATATATATATATATGTTTATATTCATTAACTAATAACTGAGCGTGTGATACATATACATAGTGTTTTGTTGTTAATGCAGTATACAACCGTTGGAAACGTATTCTGTGTCTAACATCAAATAGAATGCTCAAATAGATACATTGTATTCGATTGCTTTCAGTGACTTGGGCTGAGAATATGTGTGAATCATATTTATAGTGAAGATATGATTATGAATAATAAATTGTGTTCAAAATGTTATCCAGTAATTAATACTGTTTTAGTGATTTATATATCAAAAAATGTATACGTTATACAACAATTTCACATGGAAGTAACAATGTGTACAGAGTTGCAGAATACATTTGTTACTAAGAATTGGGTTAGTACAACGGTGATACTCTACTGCGCAAAGAAACGTCGGATGAGACAAGGCGAATCCTTGACAATCATGACAACAGAAGAGTGTATTTTCGTGCAACTAACACTTCTTACGCTCATTACCACTAGTTAAGGTTAAGGATAAAATAGAAGAAGTAAAACCAATAGAATTGTGTGTAGCAGATCAGTTGTGGGGATTGTGACGCCATATATATGTAGGAGATACTTCTAGACAGGTAAATCTAAAAGATTGGAAGGGCATAAACAATGTCTAAACGTGGTTCCAAAAATCTCTTCAGATTTGAAGAGGCTAGAAAACTAATCGGTGACTGGATACTACACTCAATAGAAAAAGGACATAAGATCGACTTTGGTAGGACTAAGGTTCTACAGAAAGTTTTTGGTTCGTATAAGCAAAGACTGACTGCAGAAGCCTTACATATTTGAATGAATCCCAGACGTTTGAACGGGAGTGAAGGTGTGATGTTAGATAAGGCATGACAAGTCCGGATTAGTAAATAAAAATGGCTTTGGCGTTTGAAACTATGGACAATGGGTTCGAGCCTCGGTGGGAACATCATCCCTCACTGAGAGAGAAATGCAGGTACATCCAGATGACGAGTCCCAAATAGGACGAAATGCGCATCCTGGATTCCACTGCTAGCCACCATCCACCAACTGTATACTATCATACGTGGTCTAAATTTCAGATTGTGTATATTTTCTTATGGAGAGGTTAACAGATGTTTTACAATTGTTTCCCCATACGCATCTGTACCATGGTATACCAATCATGAGTCATGAAACAGGTATCAACAGGTATAATAAACAAAAATTGAATGAACTATGATCAAAATTTGACCTCACACTTACAAAATTAGTCTCTTCTGTTAAAATATATGTGTATATGCAGTATACAACGGTCTCTGTGCCTTTGTGTATGGGTGAACAATCATAAAACATTCGTAAGCCTCTCCATAAGAAGACTGTCCACCCACACACACATACACACACCATTGTATGCTGCATATACACATATATTTTAACAGAAGAGACTAATTTTGTAAGTGTGAGGTAAAATTTTGATCCCAGCTCATACAATTTTGTTTGTTATACTTGTTGACTCATGATTGTACAAAAGTTTTGAAAAACAAGAGATGTTCCTTTTATATATAAACCTCTGTTATGTTAATTTCGATTAATTTCCTTGAAGAAGCTCGGAGTATTTCGCCTAACTCGGGGAAGGTTGGAATTACGCGTTTGAATTTCGCTGAGATTTTAAAAATATAGTTTTTATGAATTATTATTTATTATTGCTCCCTTGGGTTCCTAGTGGAACATAGGGCTTCAACTGCACGTCTCCATTTTCTTCTGTCTTCTGATATACTTTTCGCCTGCATCCATGTTAATCCATATTCTTTCAACTCCTCTTCACACGATCTCCTCCATGTCACCCTTGGACGTCCCACACGCCGCTTCCCTTTCGGGTTCCACTCGAAGGCTTGACGCGCGATGTCACCCAGCGGTCTCCTCAGCGAGTGTCCGATCCATCTCCTCTTTCTCTTGAATATTTGTTGGGCGACTGCTTCTTGTTTTGTTTGTTTGTTCCCATAGCTTCTTGTTGGTGATTCTTTCCGACCCGGCCATCTGATCTTCAGTATAGAGCGAGGATAGTTGTTGTTGATAAAGGTCTGGTCTGCAATAGCCTGTTGGAAATATTCTTTGTGACCTACCCGCCAATTTTCTGATCCGTATAGAAGAACTGACTGACTTGACGTTCGTTTGTATTGAAAATCCGACTGGATTTTGTTGTTGATGATGGCTGAGTGATGAAGATTTCCAGATTAGATTGGTTTCAGGTTGATGATGTCGATGTGTTTCTCGCCTTCCCGATTCTCGCTCGATTTGACATCCTCGTCCGTTCCGACTGCCTGTAGTTGAGACAATGCTCTCTAGATAAGTGAATGAAGTAACTAAACTCTTTCAAATCCCTCCCGTTGATGGTGATTGGCTGTTGGCTGGATGTAGCTGTTGTTGTTGGTTGGCTGGTTATTTTCATAACCTCCGTCTTTTTCATGTTCATCTGGAGTCCTGTCTTTACCGGCTGCCTTTTCGACCAGTTTGTCGGTGTTTGCTTCTAAGTCTTCGATTTTGTGACAGTGACATCAAACATAAATCATCCACTCGCGAAATCCAGGTCTTCTGGGTTCTTCATTTCGGTCCAGGATATCCCTGTCTTCTCGTTTCCCACTCACTTTCTGACGCATAATCCAGTCAGTCCACCACAATTAGGAATATCTTTGGTGATAATAAGCACCTTTGTCTGACTCGTGTGCTCACTCCAAACGCCTCTCTGAGTTTTCCGTTGTGGATCACTTGACATGTGCTGTTGTCGTACAGCTATTGAATAAGGCTGATGAATATTTGGGGTACGCCATAGTACTCGAGTAATTTCCAAATTACTTCACGATCAACGCTGTCTATCGAAGGCCTTCTCAAAGTCTATAAAGTTGAGGTAGAGGTTTGATCGCCATTCCATGCTTTGTTCGATGATGATGCGTAGAGTTGCAATTTGGTCAGTACATTATTTGCCTTTCCTGAATCCAGCTTGTTCCGGTTGGTGGCGGAGTTCTGTCTCCAGTGTGTCCTTTAATCTCTCCAGGATAATGCGACTCAGGATTTTACTTGGCGTCCTGAATACTCATGGCATATTTTTCGAAATCACTAACCCACCTTATGAGATGCGGGTAATATGATGTTAGTATCCATTAAACAACGTGAGTCGGTGGCACAGCGGTTAGGACGCTTGCCGACCATGCACACGGACCGGGGTTCGCTCCCTGGCTATCAACGCACTTTTCTTCCTCTCTAAGCCAGTAATAGAACTGGCAAAAAGGGAAGGTTGGGCATGAGGTGGCTAGCAACCCCATCCTGTAAAAACAAGCACTGCTACAGAAACTTCAAGCATCTAGCTTGAACCCCCATGTTCCACTGGGAACGTGAAGGAATGCAAAAAAAATTACAAAACAAGCATAACCACCGCAAACTGTAAGGTGATGCAGGTTTCATGTTACTGAATAATAACGAACTGCTTTTCCATCGGACGAAATCCACAGTCTATAAGAAGCTGATAAGACTTAGTTAACAGACGAACAGTAACCTGGAAACCAGTGGTCTGAATTCCTCAGCAATACTGTAAGTAGTCGGAGGGTTTCATCATGAGCTGACATCGGTTGGATAACGATCGGAAAATCAGCTGGGAGTACTGCAAGACAGCCGTTTCGTCAGCCTAGTTTGGGACTCTTCATCAGTATGAACCCACCAAGTGAGGTTCGAACCCAGGACCCTCTGGTTACAAGGCTATTGAGCTCATAGACCACTAAGCCACTGGGACCGGAGTCAATCCTCCAACCAGTCAAACACAATCCCTACAAAATCATTGCCACCTACTTGGATAATTTTGTGAATTAAATACAAGCAAGCAATTGGATTAGAAAATTATTGAACTTACTTAACAATACAGTATTCTTCTATACTGGTCATCGGATTCCATGTTGAATGACTCCCGTATACAGTACGCTTTCCAGACATTTACCTGTAGAGAATATTTTCTTGAGTAAATGAGATTTCGCTTATATTTGACAAAAAAATAATAATAAAGAAATTGGTCAGCGCTACTAACAAAAGTAACAGCCACACAGCACCAATGGAGACAAATGTCACCCATAAGGATGTTTGCGCGAAACCAAACTTCAACAATTGAGGTGATCACCCATTTCGAAGTTAATCACAACACTCAAGTAGTGATTCTATATTTAATTGTTGAGTGTGGGAAACGAGGGAGTGGTTTTTTTGAAGATTGTGGCTTCTTAGCTTAAATACTCGGTTCATAATCAAGCATGGAGTCAAACTCTGTCTACCTCAGCTTGGATAGATCATAGGTAAGACATACCTTTATGCAAGAAAAGAAACTATAGAAGGTCTGAACTTCGAAGAAATGATTTATGCCTGATGTAATATATAAATTTGAAGATCCACAAGCGAAAACTGGAATAAGTAGCTTAGATAGGACACAGAGAGGACAGTAGTGATGAAGATAACTGACGACCAACAACACCAACTACAACGGCAAGAATTATATTATATATTTTTCCTTCACGTTCCCAGTGGAACATAGGGCTCCAAGCTAGTGGCTTGAAGTTTCTGTAGCAGTGTTTAATTTTTACAGGATGGGGTTGCTAGCCTCATGCCCAACCTTTCCTCTTTACAAGCATTATTTCTGGCTCAGTGAGGTAAAGGAGTGCGCCGGCCGGGGGTCGAACCCCGGACCATATGCATGGTCTGCGAGCGTCCTAACCGCTATACCACCGACGCTATACCACAACGGCAAGCATTAGTCATATTAATATATACGTAAAACTTGAGGGAGGGGGCTGCGGTAGTAAGTAATTCCATGTTAGTTTGTTTATTAGATGTATCACACAGTCAACGAAACAGGATTATTCACTGGATGACAAGGTTTCGAACAAAATTTATTATTATTCATAGTCACACAACTTTGAAACTTGAGTTTTATATTTTTCTCTGTTCTCTCCTATTTGTAGTCGTAGAGGTAGTAGAATTTTCCAGATATCCGGGTGGACAGGTGTTGAATCATTCCTATGACACGTATTCACTCTCAGTTGATTCGATAAACAAAGCTTCTGTTATCAATCTCTCCCTCCAACCCGCTGTTACATTGGATTTTAGAACTGTCATCTTCTCACACCGTCCTATTGTATGGTTGTGTGTAACTGCATGTAGTGCTATAGCTGAACTATTCGCTAGATTTCTTATCTTATTCGGGTCAACCAATCTAGATTTCGCTGCTAGGTTTTTATGTTCAGCTAGTTGGACTGCCCCTGTTCTACTAGTTTGACCTACGTATTTGACCTCACTGACAATCATTGCAGGTAGGGTATTATTCCTGCCTTGTAAAAAGTAAAAGCGGCATTCAAACCCACAAACTCAATTAGAAACAAGCTTTGTCGGTTAAAAGATCAATCCTGTAGAATCTTTAAAACAAAACAATTTAGTTTATCTAATGCCCTGGCTGCAGTGATTGTCAGGTCAAATACATAGGTCAAAGTAGTAGAACAGGGGCAGTATGACTAGTCGAACATAAAAACCTAGTAGAATCTAGATTGGTTGGCCCGAATAAGATAAGACATCTAGAGAATTGTTCATCTATACCACTCACTATATGCAATTACACACAACGATACAATACGATGGGATGGATGGGATGGGATGAGAGTTTTAAAATCTAATGTCACAATGTTGAGGGGAGAGATTGATAACAGAAGCTTTGTTTATCGAATCAACTGAGAGTGAATACGTGTCATAGGAATGATTCAACACCTGTCCACCCGGATATCTGGAAAATTTCACTACCCCAACGACGACAAATAGGAGAGAACAGAGAAAAATATAAAACTCAATTTTCAAAGTCATGTGACTATGAACAATAATAAATTTTGTTCGAAACCTTGTCATCCAGTGAATAATCCTGTTTCGTTGACTGTGTGATACATATAATAAACAAACTAACATGGAACGACAAACGTTAGTCATCATCGACAGGAGAAATCTCTCTCTCTCTCGAGAGGGAGTCAGTTGTTTTACTTATCTATTCAATAAAGTTTCAACTACAAATGGCACAGATGATGACGACGTTAAAGCCCAGGCAGGATGGAAGAACCATGATGAATCTTGGTTCATAAGAAAAAGGCGTAAACAGCGAAAAAAATTTTACCCCTTTTTGACGATTCATTTCCATGACCTGCTGTACAATCGTGTTAATTATATTTGATTGCATGGAGGATTTAATCAAACAAAATCCCTACAAAACCAATACTTGAAAATTAATTATATTGAACAAAGAAATCTTTAGACCAATCAGATACTGGTAAACTTTGTCCTCGGAAAATGTATTACATAATGTGAGGTGCTACATCTAGAAGGGGTGACTAATTTTAAGTTAGAAAAGGCGGCAGAAGTTGGCATGACGTAATAAGTGTGAGATAATGATCAATCAATAAGCCCGTGTAGAATGAACAGGAACTATTGGAAAGGCTATAAAGTGTTTTTGTATAAAATCTGTATGAAAAAGCAGTGTTATTAATAAACGGTAATAGAGTGGTAATAAAATATGGATAATGGGAATAATAATGATAATAAAATAGTAATAATGATAATAATAGTGAACATACATAATAAAAAAAGAAGAGTTGATCACGGATTGATATCAGTTAGAGAATCATTGAAAAACCAGTACTGGAGTACTGGACAGCTGCTGTTTCATCCTAGTTTGGGAATCATCGGCAGTACGCACCCACTGGGATTCTAACCCAGGACCTACCGGTTACAAGGCAAGGTCGTATACCATTCAGCCACTGGGACCCGATTCAATGGCTCGTGAATTCTAACTTCTACCAATTCGTGATTTAGCGCAACCCCAACCATTGTCGTTGGTGGGACATCCATCCACACACGTGACATCTAATTGGACCTCACTAGTCACGACTTCTCACTAGAACTCAGGAAACTCCAACCTGTAGCAAGTCAGTAGCGAGCATCAGATTAATCCTTACAAACCAAACTATAGAAAAAAGAAGAGGCGAAATTATAGTAAGAATTTTACTCTGGTCATTGTAGGGCGAGAGAATGTATGCATTGCTTTTGAGTACAGAGATCCAGTTTCAGATCTCAAATAGCTAATGCTTCAGCTATGTACAGATGGCGTGTGTGAAATCCCTTTGTATGATACTGAAAGACTCTGTGTAGCACTGTGAAGAATTCATGCAAGTGGGGGGTACTCAATGTCAAGAGATGACAAGGTGTTCTTTCCTCCTCTGGCTAGCTAGCCAAGCTGAACAGTGTTCGAGAATACGTTTGTGTACCTGACGTTGTGTATGGCCGATATACTTTGCTCCAGACGAGCAAGTAAACTGATAAATATACACTGAAGTGACAAAAAGCGGTATCATATCCTTAACGTTAGACTGGATTAACTATCAGCTGATTGGTCTAAAAATTTATTTGTTAAACATTTATGAATACGATTGTACAGCTGGTTATGAAAATGAATCGTCGAAAGGGGAAAATTTTCTTCGCTGTTTACGTTTTCTTTTTTTATCACTCTATATGTGCGCTGGTGGCACAGTGGTTAGGACTCCCGCCGACCATGCACACCCCAATATAAATGGTCGGCCTGCAAAACTGGGCTACCGATATCACGTGCTGAAAATTCCATCCTTGTGCCAAAAATACTGTGTGGAATCAAGCTATCATCAAAAAAATATACATTTCCTTCTTACAAGTTGATAACTTACTGATATCAGCTAGGAAACCATTGAAAACCAGGGAGTACTAGACAGCTGTTTTGTCAGCCTAGTTTGAGAATTATCGGCAGTACACACCTACTAGGGTTCGAACCCAGGACCTTCTGGTTACAAGGCAAGCTCGTATACCGTTCAGCCACTGGGACCCGATTCAATTGTATCCACAAGGTCCTGGATTCGAACCCCAGTGGATGCGTACTGCCGATGACTCCCAAATTGGAAAAACGGAAACAGCTGTCCAGTACTTCCTAGTGGTTTACAATGGTTCTATAGATGATATCAGTCCGTGATCAACTCGTAAAAACAAAACTAACCCTTACAGACCAAACTATGTAAAAAAATATTTCGTTCATTGGAGAGTCTTGATTAACGTGAAATCATTCTGGACACTGGTTGCACTCGATAGCATAAGGAACAAGATCTGGATCTCTTACACTATAGTCCAATCAGACAGTACTTTCATATAGTTCAGAGATGTGGTGCATACGTCACTGAAAGCATTTCCAACAGGCTGCATACTGAATATCAGATGGCGGAAAACGACAAGCTACAAGGAACTCTGGCAGTACAAAAAACCGACAGAGGACTGGCTTAATCTGTGTCGAACGTTTGCCCGATAGGTTTAGGTGGCGGTCGATTTAGGAGTCTTTTGAAGTGTTCAGCCCAGTGTTTTCTTTGTTCCACCTCTTTGGTGATTGACTTTCCATTGTCGTCCTTTACTGGCTTAATCTGTGTCGAACTTTTGCCCGATAGGTGTCTAGTTGTTTGGTAGAGTGTTGCAAGGTCTCCTTCGCCTACACTGCAGCTTGTTCTGCTTCACTTTCCATGGCTTCATAATATTTTCTTTTGTCTTCCCTGGAACTCTTCTTCACTCTTTTGTTCAGTGTATTGTAGCTTGTATTCAGCTCCTGTTTTTGTTGCTCGTCAGTGCACTGGATAATCTTTTGTTTCACCATACTTCTCTCTTCTATTAGTTTCCAAGTGTCCGTAGTGAGCCACTGTTTGTCCTGTCTCTTCTTTTTGCCTAGAACTTCCATACAGGTTTCCCTCCACACCATTTTCAAGTTGTTTCAGTGCTTTTCGACGTTGACCTTTTCGCTGGTGCTGATTTGTGTCTCGGCTTTTTCCCTTATGTTTGCAATGAAGATGTCCTTTGTAGCCTGGTCCTTCAGTTTTTGAGTGTTGAACTTGGCTTGCGGTCTATCTGCA